TCGCCTCGGGAGGTACATACGGGATTCTGATCTTAGTCAATGGCTCACGCTCTGTTGCTGCCATTATCTGATGCTTACGTTGTCCCAGACCCAGCCAGCACGAGTGACCTTTTGACGTGTCCCCCTCGCGTTCTGAGCACTTGCCGATACAAGATACTCGCCCTCTCTCCCCCCGTCCTGGAGCCAGGCGTTTCTCAGAGCAACAGAGGACGGAACTAAGAAACCAAGATTTTTTTTTTTTTTAAGATTTTTATTTATTTATTTGACAGAGAGAGTGATAGCGAGAGCAGGAACACAAGCAGGGGGAGTGGGAGAGGGAGAAGCAGGCTTCCCGCCGAGCAGGGAGCCCGATGTGGGACTCGATCCCAGGACCCTGGGATCATGACCTGAGCCGAAGGCAGACGCTTAACGACTGAGCCACCCAGGCGCCCAAGAAACCAAGATCTGATGCTGAGTGTGCCCGCCGCTGCTTCTAGGAAACCTGCGTGACACACACGCTCACATCTGCGTGTCCGCGTGCCCATGCTTCCGCATCTGTCTGCGTGAGCGTGCGAGTGCATGAACTCACTTATGCAATGAAGCCCTGAGCTCGAACGGGTATCTCGGCCTGGAACCCAGGGTCACAGGGCTTGTCTCAATCTCCACCCCGTTGTCCCTCGATCACGCGGCCTTGCTCTGTGTGCAGCAGAGGCTTGGGCATCACCAGCCTGAGGGAGGCCCTCGTCTGGCTGAGCGAAGGCAGACGGACTCACCAGGCAGGGGCCCCGTGCTGAGCCAGAAGGTCTTCTGGAAGGTGCAAGGGAGGCAGAGGCAAAATCCCCAGGAAGCTCTGGGGTGAGAGCAAAACCCTACGATTGTCTGGATGGAATGACCAGCCAGAAAAGAGGGCTGCTGTCAGGCTCTGTGGAAAGACTTCAAGTGACGCAGGGTCACTGGGAAAGGGCAAACGTGTCCCCAAGCAGCTGGGAGGGGGCTCCTCACACCCTGCTGTCCCCCAGGAGAGGCCGCCCTCTGTTCAAGGCACGAGTGACCCTAGTTATGGCCTCCTCAGACCTGCTTATGAATAACCAGCTAATACAATTCTGACTGTTCTTTTTCTAGGGATCCTGGTTCCCTTTTTTTTTAAGGACTTATTTTTAATTTCATTTAATTTTTTTTAAAGATTTTTTATTTATTCATTTGAGACACAGAGAGAGAGAGAGAGAGAGCATGAGCAGGGAGAGAGGCAGAGGGAGAGGGAGAAGCAGGCTCCCCGCTGAGCCAGGAGCCCGATGTGGGGCTCGATCCCAAGACCCTGGGATCACGACCCGAGCCGAAGGCAGACACTTAACCATCTGAGCCACCCAGGCGCCCCATCATTTAATTTTTTAAGTAGGCTCTACGACCAGCATGGAGCCCAATGTAGGGCTTGAACTCACGACCCTGAGATCAAGACCTGAGCTGAAATCAAGAGTCGGATGCTTAACCCACTGAGCCACCAGGTGCCCCAGTTCTTATTTTATTTTTTTAAGTAGTCTCCAGGGCCAATGTGCGTGGGGCTTGAACTCACAACTCTGAGATCAAGAGTCACATGCTCGACCAAGACAGCCAGGTGCCCTGGGATCCTGTTCCTTTTAAGGTTGCTCTGTTGAGGGTTTCATCTCTCTCGTCCAACAAATTTCCCCCAAAGGCAAAAGTATTTCTGGGTCTGATGCACATGTGCTCTCAATTCAACACCACATCTTTACAGAACAGGGAGCCTGTGGGACACATCCGCACACAACCAGGACTAACACCAGCAAGGGAGGGCAAGGCCGCTCTGGAGCTTGCGGTCTGCACACTGGCGGCTGCGAAGCTGGAGTGAAGCCGCTCACCATGACCAAGTGCTGGGCAGTGAGGCTGGAGTGTTCCCGGGAGGGACACACACCTCCCCTGGGCTCCCAAGGCTGCGTGGCAGTGCTCAGGATCCACAGGGCCTGACGAGTGTGAGTACAGCGGCGTCCCAGCCCCTGGGGTGCCCCAGAGCTGTATTTTAAGGCCAAGAGCAGCTACAAGTCCTGGAGAGCTAGTGCATTGACTGATAAGCCCCAAGACTAGACACTGTGCCTGGAACTCAACCCCCGAGCGAGGACTGATTTTCCACCTCACAGGAGACAAAACTCCCCGGAATGACAGCAGGTGTGGGCCTTCCGCCAGGCCCGGACGAGGCCATCTCTGTAGCTTGTGCACCAACAACAAACCAAGAAGGTGTCACTGGAGGTTCCGACGCACGCCAGCTGGAAATCGTGACCAGAGCGTCACGCTGAGATGCATCTGCACACGGGGTGCCGGCCAGGAGTCTGGGTGCCAGCGCCCGCAATGGGGGCATCCCTCAACACCAGGGCATCATGTCTGCAGCTCATTCTCAAATGGTTCTGGGGGAAGAAAAAGGAGAGCGAGAGAAAAGAAATGTGCTAAAATATTGACCTTTGGGGGATGTGGGTCAAGAGTGCTACTCTTGAACAGTTCTGTTTCAATTTTAAGCTTAATAGGAACAATATCGGGCGGAGGGCGGTACAGGAGCTGGGAGAAGGGCTGGTCATCTGAGGCCATGGACCCCAGTCCCTCACGTGTTTCCCCAGCCCTGGCAAGGCCCACCGCCATCTGCGCCTCCTGCCCAGCACCAGCTGGTCAGTGGCTGCAGGAAGCAGCGTGCTTCTGCCCCAGCCTCGGCCGGACCAGCTGCTCAGGGGGATTCTAGTCGCGCCCAAGCCTCCTCCGCAACAGGCGGCCTCACTTGGGCCCTGGAGCAGATGCAGCCTTTGGTGGAAAGCCCCATCTTCTCTCCTCCCCACCAGAAGCTCCCGTCTCTCGTCCACTCTCCCTGCTCACCTGCCAGGGCCGTGCCCTTCCTTCTTTGCCCATCTCCTGGCCACTGCAGGCCCTCACTGAATGACCACTCCCCTCCCTGCTTCCCAGCCTCGGAGCTGGCTCAGGCCTCTGGAAGGCAGGCAGACACCTCCCTTTGCCGGGTGCCGTCCTTCCCCACCCGCATTTACTCCATAGCACTGGGACATCTGGCTTCCACACTCCCCCCAAATGGCAGCGTAAGAGAGCGAATTTAGATCCGCGAGTGAGCAGGGATCTCTGCTCAACCTCTTAGAGCTGTGTGATTTTTGCCCATGCTCAGGACTTGCGGGCAGTGGACATGCAGGCTCAGTATGAACTGTAACACCAACTCCTCAGTCTTTGTCGCCCCATCTTGTCTGCCTGTCCCTGACCTCTCTACACTGCCTCCTGGGAACTAAGGTCAGATCCACACTGTCTGCCTGTGGTTCCCAACCCTGCTGCCCCTCTCCTCGACTTAGCTTGTCTGCGTCCCACAGCTGCCTACATGTCTCCCCTTGGGCAGCCAGCCAGCTCCTCAAATTTAACACACCGCCCCACTTGGACCCGCTCTCATCTGTGCTGGATTTGCTAAAAGGCAGTCACAGCAGGTGCTTAAGGCCGCTGAGAAGAAATAAACTTCTGGGAAAAGAATGTGATATTCCAAAAATGCACCAAAGCTCGACCCATTGTGCACCATTCTCTGTGAGTTGCATGGGGGAGGAGCACCGAACATCGGCAGACTGGGACCCGGGAGGTCTCTGCTCAGTGCTCCCTGTCGTCTCCAGAGCTGGTCCTCCCCAGCAGCCTTGGGCACTCTAACATTAACGCGGACTGCTCCTGCCTGCCCCCACATCCGGTTTTTAAATCCTGATGCTTCTCTTGCCCCAAAGGCCCCACAGCTCCCTCCCTCTCCACCAGCCACATCCAGTCCCTGCTTGCTTGGGTCTGCAACACAGCTGCTGCCTCCTAATGGACCCCGCCAGGCTGTCCTGTGCCACGAGTCACCTCCTCCGACTACAGAGCAGACATACATGTCACACTCCTGCTCGCACAGCTCTGCCCACCCCCAAGTCCAAGCCCCTGCCTAGGGGTCAAGGCCCTCTCCTCGCAGACCCTGGGCTCCAGCCAAACCAGACTTCTTGCCATCTGGGAACATATGTTCCCTCTGCCCAAAATAATCTACATCCATCTCCACCTGTCAAGATCTGTCCTTGTTCAGAAATAGTACCGGGACAATTGGCCATTTGACGGAAATTTTTTAGATTCTCTGCTTCACAGTATGCACCAAAATATGTTACAAGCGAGAATTAAACGTAAAACATCATGCAATCCCGTACGTTTAAGAAAACAAACTAAAAAGTCTGAAAAATACGTGATCCCCAAACATACGAAAGGGGAAAGATCCTAGGCTCACAACCAAAGCCCGAGATCCGACTCGGCAGAACCGGGCTGGTCAGAACCAGGCCGATGAGCAAGGAGCGGAGGGACGGCGCGCTCTTCCCGAGCTGAGCCGGGCCGCAGCGGCCCGCGCTCCGAGACTGGCGGCCGGAAGCGGCGCCGCCCCCGTTCCCATCCCGCACCCCGCACCCCGCCTCCCCTCCGGCCCGCGGCGATGACGTCACCGCGCCCACGTGACGCGGAGCGCCCGCCGCTCCCCGGCCGTTGCCCAGCAACGCTGCCGGATCGGCTCCGCTCTGAGCGCAGAGTTCCGCGGCACCCTCCCTCTTTTAATGCCTCTCCATTTAGAAGGAGCCACAACCGTAACCGCCGTTCCTACAAGGACGCGCGCTCATCTCGACGGGCCCGACACCCGGGAGACCCGCGACCGCAGGCGGGACGCACACCGCCTCCGCCCCTCGCCCTCCCGCGCCCTTCCCGCCCGACACGCGCTCCCCTTCCCAGAGCGCCGCGCGCCGCGACGTCACCGTCCTACGCGCGGCCGCCAGGACGTGCGGGCGGGGTGGGTGGCGTCAGGGGGCGCGCGCCGGAAGCCGGCGGGAGCCGGGCGGAAGTGGCGGGGCGGGGCGCGGGGCGATGGGGGGCGGCGGCGGCGGGGGCCGGCGATGAGCGGCGGGAGCGCGTGAGCGGCCGGCGGGCGAGGCCGGGGCCCCGGAGAGCCAGCCGCAGGGCGGAGGGCGGCGGGCGGCGGGCGGGCGGGCGCGAGCGCGGCGGGCGGCGGCGGCGGCCGAGAAGATGGCGGACGGCGACAGCGGCAGCGAACGCGGCGGCGGCGGCGGCGGCGGCGGCGGGCCCGGCGGCTTCCAGCCCGCGGCCCGCGCGGCCGAGCAGGAGACGCAGGAGCTGGCGTCCAAGCGGCTGGACATCCAGAACAAGCGCTTCTACCTGGACGTGAAGCAGAACGCCAAGGGCCGCTTCCTGAAGATCGCCGAGGTGGGCGCGGGGGGCTCCAAGAGCCGCCTGACGCTGTCCATGGCGGTGGCCGCCGAGCTCCGCGACTACCTGGGCGACTTCATCGAGCACTACGCGCAGCTGGGCCCCAGCAGCCCCGAGCAGGTGGCGGCGGCGGCGGCGGGCGCCGAGGACGGCGGCGGCCCGCGGCGCGCGCTCAAGAGCGAGTTCCTGGTGCGCGAGAACCGCAAGTACTACCTGGACCTCAAGGAGAACCAGCGCGGCCGCTTCCTGCGCATCCGCCAGACGGTCAACCGCGGCGGCGGCGGCGGCGGCCCCGCGCCCGGCGGCCTGCAGGGCGGCCAGACCATCGCGCTGCCGGCGCAGGGCCTCATCGAGTTCCGCGACGCGCTGGCGAAGCTCCTCGACGACTACGGCGGCGACGACGACGAGCTGGCGGGCGGCGCGGGCGGCGCGGGCGGCGGCCCGTGCGGCGAGCTCCCCGAGGGCACCTCCATCACCGTGGACTCGAAGCGCTTCTTCTTCGACGTGGGCTGCAACAAGTACGGCGTGTTCCTGCGCGTCAGCGAGGTGAAGCCGTCCTACCGCAACGCCATCACCGTGCCCTTCAAAGCCTGGGGCAAGTTCGGGGGCGCCTTTTGCCGCTACGCGGACGAGATGAAGGAGATTCAGGAGCGGCAGAGGGACAAGCTGTACGAGCGGCGCGGCGGGGACGAGTCGGAGGGCGACGAGGCGGACGAGGACTGAAGCGCGCCGCTTCCCGAAGGGCCCCCGCCCCGCCCGCCGCCCCCGTCCCCTTGGCTGGAGAGCCCCCGTCCCGCTCGCCCGCCCCCGTCCCCTTGGCTGGAGAGCCCCCGTCCCGCTCGCCCCCGGGGAGCCGGTGGAGGCGGCGCGTGAGGCCCCGTCGGGACAACGCAAAGTTAAGGGATAACGCAGTTCGCTGAGACAAGTAACCACAGAAGAACAGTCGCAGACAATTCGAGAAAAGCAGCAGAGTTCCAAGGAACTGACCGCAGCCTGCACAGAGCCGACAGCCTGAGCAAAATCGTCCGTTTCCACAGTTTCCAGCTGGGGTTTGTGACCCCCCCCCCCAGGGTAGCCCTGCAGGGGGGCAGATCCTTGCGTGCCCGGGGTCGGGGAACGCTCGAGTCCCCCGGACGCGTCCAGGACAGCTGCCTTTGTGTTCTACCCGGGTGTCCTGGCCTGGCGATCTCTGCCGGCCTCGCTGTTGTGGGGTCGGTCTCTTCACCTCCACTGAAATCAGCACATGGGGGTCTAGGTCTTGGTGGAATTCTTGAGAAGACAGAGGCCTTGGCCCTTGCCCTGTTCTGAGGGTACAGGTTTCATGCAAAGGAGTGCGACTTTAAAAAGATCATGGACAGGGCAGAATGAGAATTCAAGAAGCCACCGGGGAATAAGAAACAAATTGGGTCCATTTTGTCTAAGATGGTTTTGCGTGGAACCTGGACCAGTGTCCGTGTCTCTTTGTGGCAGTGTTTTCCTGGTTGCAAGTGGATTCAGATGTCAATCCTTCAACTAGAAGCTGTTACTAAAGGATTTTGGAAGTTGGCCAAGTTTCTTTCAGAGCTAAGAGCCGTTTTACATTGGGGCTTGCTGAGGTAGGCACGGGAAGAAATCCGGCAGCAAGCACAAGGAGGACTGTTTGAGTGGATTAGTTGCTGCTCACTAAAGTCCTTCCCCCGGCCTCTAGTCCTTACCAAGAGATGGCTTAGGGGTGAATGAGAGCCAGGTCCCTGTGGCTGTTCCGCCTGAGCTGGCTAATTCAGCTCTTTGGGCCACTGGTTGGCTGGATTTTCAACCGTTAAACTTGAAGATACCTACAAAAGGAACTGTGGCTACAAGCCTGAGCTTTAATGGAATATACGTCCTCACAGAAAAGTTGGAAATAGCCAAAACTGAAGTCTTCACCTACCTTCAGTTCCGTCTGTGGATTTGTTCACATACTAAAGATCCTCAGGTCCAGAATTCCAGCATCATCTATTCTTTTAAAGTAAATTTTTAAGAACTCGATCCATTGTTTCAGTACCTCCCGATCAGAGTTGGCAAATGATGGTTGAGTGATTAGAGCAGCACGCCCTTTAGAGGGTGAAATCCATCGGGATGGAGATGAAGGGAACGTACAAATGCTGACTGTGTCCTGGAAGCATTTTTATACCATCTTGAAATTTCAACAAACTGGCTTTCGCCAGTTTATCCAGCTGTTTTTCAAGAATAAAAGTTGGGGTTTTCAAGGATCGCCTCTTCTATATTTTAAATGGATTTTCAGTAGAAATGATTTTTACTAATCAAGTTAATCCCACCCCATCACCAAGGTATTCCTAGAAGTGTCACAGACCTAGGCGACTTTGAATTGAACGGGAGCTAACGTTCTTTCCAAAGTTTGTAGGTATTCTTTGTGCGACACCTTCTCAACCAGGAGGCAAGTAACCCCACCTCCACAATCTTAGTTTTGTGTTTTTTTTTTTTTTTTAACTGCATGCCTGCCCTTTATCTGAGCTGCCATTTAATTTATTGCATACCCTTTTATTATCTGAGTTTGGTATTATTCAATCTATACAATCTTTTTGTATTTATTGGGAAATAAGTAATCTACAAAAAGGTCATCTTCATGCATCGTGGCCGAGAGGGAGGGAAAGAACTGTACATAAAATTAGGCTTTTTTTAAAAAATTAGACTTATGATTCAGAATACTGTTGATCTTAGGTTTTTTTAAAAAAAAAAAAACGTGGACGAGCCACAAACTGGTGCCCTTTTCAGACTATTTCTCTACTCTCATCCTCCACAGTAGACTTTTTAAACAGATTTTTTTTAAAGCTTTTCCTTTTTTTAAAAAACCTTCTCCGTCGCAAAGAATGTTTCCTAAATTGTATGGGAGCAATAGTATTTTTGATGTTTTAATGACATCTGTATATACTCGTACTGTATTTTGTACCACAAGGCAGCTGTTTTCAATAATGTCCTGCTGTATTGACCTATGTGTTTTGAGTGTTGATTTCTTTGCTGCGGAGAACAAATCCCTACACCGTTTTAGTAAGGGCGCCGTGAAGCTAGTGTTAGGTTTGCAGAAACTTTCCGTTTCCAACTTTGAGGCAGCAGTGAAAATTCAGGTTGCAGCTCTCAGTTAACTGCTGTGACTTGTTCATTTTCGTACCGTGTACAAGTCCTCTTTAGACCAACTTGTTTTCTTGCTTCAGTGGTGGTTCTGTTGCTCAGCTGCAGTGAACCAGTTCGACTTTGCAGAGGTGCAGTACCTCCCCTTTGGAAGGGGCTGGTGTGTTTTTTCTTTTCTTTTTGTTTGGCTAAATTGCAGTAACTAGCCTTGCCTTTCTATTCTGTAGAAATGACAGGGTCTTCACCGTCCTTCACCAGTGGCTACCAAGCTATAATTAGCTGAATAGAAAGAATGTGGAAGTGGTCGGAGGCATGTAGAGTATATGCCAAGAACACTACCATATATGGCGCCAGCTTTGGTTACCAGAGAAATTTTCTTAGTCATTAGACCATGTAACAGTAATATATCATATGTAAATCTTTAGATATCAATTTGAGAATCCTCCAAAAAAAGGAGCAAAGAATGCATAAGCTATGTGTTGGAAAAAGTAATTTATATTAAAATTTTGACCTGCCTATGTAAGATTAAGTGGTAAACGTCCTAGTGGTGGGTTTTTAAGTCTTAACCCATCTCAGAGGTTTGTTTCTCCTGCAGGGGGTGGTTCACAGTCTCTCTTCTCACTGCAGGAAGATTACAGAAGGGTGTGGATTAGTTGTAGCATTTCACTGACCCTCATTCCACTCACTGTTCTGGGGCAGCAGAAATCCGCGGAGCACAGAGACTGCTCTTTTGATGTGTTGGCCTGTTACCGAGGCCGGATTTCAGAACTCGTTCAGAAACCGCGCTTAGCAAAGAAAATCTGTTAATTCCAGTCAGAAAATGGCATTACAGACTCTGGGAAACAACCAGATTTTTTTTGTTCTGGTTTTCATCCTCTACTACGAACAGTGATTTAGGGCTTGTCCTTTCACCTTGGCAAACATCCCAGCTAATCACATGTTCAGAACAGTCCAATTTCTAAGAAGTGGGGAACGAAAATTCCTTTTGCGACCATTGGTAGAGTGTTTCTCAAGCCAGTGCCGTTCTGGACACGAGCAGTCCGGTCGCAGGAACGGAATCGAAAGAGCGAAACTCTGTGGTGAGATCCCGCCGTTGCCTCGTGGTTTCTCTTGTCCCCGCTGTGGTTCGAGTCGCGGGGCAGTTCTAGTCCGCGGTGAAAGCCTTCAGTGCATATGCTGCACAGAGCGCCACGTGAGTCTATATGGCACCCAAAACTCAAAGTGGAAACCCACTGGGAAACGCAGACACCCTGAGCTGCCGTGGGAGGCGTGGAGTCGGTCAGAAGGGCTGTGGCCGTGGCACACACACGGCCACTTGTCAGGTCACTTTCCACAACGGTTTGCTGCCGGCCGGTGGGGAGGCTGAGGGGGCTGTTTTCGGGGGTGGGGCGGGCAGCCCGGCCCCTCCTGCTCCCTCCGGCCCCTCCCTCGCCTGGCAGTAAATTGCAGGTCTTTTCAAGAGACGCAAGCTTCAATTTTCTCAAAACAAAACAGTTATCCTGTCTTATCTGAAAAATGCAGGGTTGTGGGCAGAAGAGGCTGGTTATAATAATGCCCTCATATTGAGTGGTCTGAAAACGGCTGCACACTTCAGGCGCGTAGTTGCTGAGGATGCTTTGTTCCGTGTGACCTTGACCGGCTCTACTGGAGGGTAGAGTGTCCTGCACAAGGTATCGAGACGTAACTATTGCTTGGCGTCCGCCTTGCTCTGGAGGCGGATGGCCTTAGGGAGAAGCTTGAGTGTGTAAGCCATGCACATAAGTATTCTTCACTGTAAATTTTGTTTTCATTTTTAACCCAGTTACGGTACTTTGTCCAATGCACAACTGATCTCTCAGTAGATATTCATTTGCAAATAGCGTGGCCTTGATCAGTGAGAGGGAAGGAGGGCAAGTGACCTCGCGGGTGCGAAGGTGACTCACCGAGAGGCCTTGCGCGCGCCACTCTTTGTGTCCAATGCGCGTGTGGCCTCGCTCCTTTCCGCCTGGGGAAAGTTCATGGTTTTGACCCTGGAGTTACCAATTCAATTGAGTTGTCTTCTGTTTTTAGGAAGGATCAGAATTGCTCTGATAAGTAACAAAGTTGACTGCTTTGGTGTCCAATCTCAGGTTTTAGAATAGAGAGAGTGGTATAAAATCCCACTGTTAACTCTTAAAACAATTTTAATGTAATACACCCCGAAATTCACATGCACGAGGCCTGTTCAGAGAGCAGAGCCTCCCATCGTTTTGCTCCTTTTCCACTTTGTACTTCACTTGAGAAAGTGTCGAGTGATCTTACATTGTATATTTCCATTTGAACCCCGACATATTTCTCAAAGATAAAAGCACTTTTTGATAATGAAATTCATGGGATCTTCGTGTGATGTGGATCATGGTTTCTCAGGCTCCCTTAGATAATCTGCTTACGAATATTGTTCTGTGTAAGAAGAGTGAAAATCTTTGCTAATGTTAGGAAGTTTGTATTATTGATCCAGAATGCATTTTGCTAGCTTCCAATCGATGGGAGAGTAAACAATGCTGCATTCACAATTTAATAAGTTACTTTCCCTTAAGCCTTAAGGTAACTTTTTTTTTTCCTGTCAACAACAGCACTGAAGTTAGAGTAAGTGAATGAGATTATCAGTTTTCAGGGTTGGTTTTAGAGTACTGTAAATCCATGAGCTGTCTTCCTAAACAGTTACTATCTCCCTTGAATTAACTGGATAGTGGGCGCGTGGGTGGGCTGGGGGGATAGCTTGTAGGAAAGAGAAAAGAAAGAAAACCACATTTACCTTAAGAAAAATACAGACACAAAATTAAAGAGTGCATGTCGGCGCCCCGTTTTTGAAATTGCAGATAGAGGGCGGAAATGGCAAACGAGAAAGTCGTTTGCCCAGTTTCTAAATCTAGGAAAGCAAAGTCATTGATTTTCAAATCCCCCACCCCCCACCTCCCCGCCAAAGTTTCAAGAGCTCACACTCGGGGACGGTGAGTTCATTTATCCCAGTTCCCGAGTTAAAGTCACTATTCCCAGCTCTTGGTCTTAAACCGTAGTTTCATTACTGATGGATTCAACAGACCCTTCTTTCAATAAATGTGGTCCAGTTTTGTCAGGATGAAAACCCGATTTGGAAAATGAAAAAATTATAAAGGTATATCATGAAGACTTATTACTCTGGCAAGTTCCAGGTGATACCTGTTCCCCTTGATCCAAGTAAGACTTTGATGAATGTATTCTGTATTCCCTGAGGAAACAGGGAATATGCCATCCAGTGTGATCACCCTTGTTCACCATCTTTTCCTTTCGTTTGCAAATCTGACTCCTGCCTCTCGAGTTAGACGTGCGGCCCGGTCCCGGTAAAGCACCGCAGACACCGTGTGGGTAGTTTCCCTGCTCCGAGGGGGCCCCTCATCACAGGAGGGCACAGCTTTGTTTGAAGCCAAGATGTTGTTTTCCCCCACAGGTAATTCTAACAGACGCTCTGATGAAGGAGCGTGACCATACTTTGGACCAGCATGAGGTCGTGTGTCTAGGAGCAAATCGCGAATGCCCAGTGTGTGAGATGTCCCCCAACCAGATAAGAGAGGGTCGGTTGTGTCTGTAGGGCGGTGACCCGTGGGGCCGTCCTACTGAGGGATAGCAGTAGATCCCTTCACGCTGCCAGTAAGTCCAGCAGCAGACTTTTCATCCCGGGTCTTACCCGCTGTCCAGGCTTGTTCAGAAAAACCTGGTTGGAAACAGAATGGCCAGGAGGATAGTCCTTCCCTTTTTAAATCCCCTTTTCAGGGAGATACAACTGCAGGGGGAGGCCCAAGAAAATCGCAGGACAGGATCCTCTCACAAAGCACGTTTGTATTGTAGGGATTGGGGGCTTTCGTTGCTCATTATTCCAGTGCGAGGCCTAACCTGCAGGCCACCTCTGCACACAAACTCTCTGGATTCCTAGGAGTTCACAGATGGAACAGAAGTCCAAGCACAGGGCATACTTCTAGAGCCTAGTTTTACCTGTTGTGGTAGCGGGAGAGTGTATGGGGGGTCTTTCTCCATGATCATCAATATTTGAATGACAGCTAAGATTATCAGTGTATTGGAACAACTAGTGGGGATTTATTCTTCCTTTTGCTCCTTCACGCAAATGTTTTCCCGGGATCATTTCTCAGAGTCCATTTGTCTTCTGATATGTTTCCAGACAGCACACCTTCCATCCTGTGGGAACCCTCACTGCTGGTCATAATCAGCAGGGGCTTCCTTAGACTAGACAGTTCACTCCAGAGCTGGGACTGATGTCCTGCCCGTGGAGACTCGGCTGAAGTCGTTCAAAATGATTTTAAACCAAATCTTGACGGCAGGAGACCGAGCTTCCTGATCTAGAGGGACGACTAGGTACTTAAGGGGTTTGGGGGTGTCTTCAGTCTCTGTGTAAATACCCACATGCTTGTGCATTGTAAACCAAGTGTGTGTTCCTGTGTATGAATTTGTAGAACTGGATTCTGCTTCAAGAGAAGCTGCACCTTTAATTTTATAAGGTCCCCTCCACCTGTAACCCTATAAATATTTGTAAATAGAACACTAAAATTTGTAGCGATAGGATCAACTTGGGAATATCTGCTGAGAGACCAAAAAGTTCATTTTTTTAAGTACCTTGGTTGAAGAGTAAAGATTATTCCTCTTATTTTTTAAAAGAAGAATGCACTTTAACAGCTGCGTGGGCGATTCAAACGGGCCCGTGAGGTGCAGTGCCGTTCAGAAATCACACTTCCTGGAAGCCGTTCAGAAGCGGTGTAGACGGGCTGTCGTGCTCCCGGCCTGGAGGTGGGAGCTCGGGCGCCAGTCGGCGTGGACTCGAGCAAGGCTGCCACGCGGGCACCGCCCGAAGCTTCCGACAGGCCTGGCAGGCGCGGCCCGTGTTGACCACTAACTAGCAAAACTGACAGAAACACAGAGACAAAAGTTGAAGAATCCTTACTGCTGGTGTGCACTCCTTACAATAGCAGATTTTGCAAATGGAGTTTTACAGTCTATATTTAAAAATTGTATGTTTGTAACAAATAAAGTATGCGGAAAAGTGAATGACAACCGTGTGCTGGCGTCTCTGATTTCAGGAACCAGGTGGTGACGGGGAGGGAAGGACCACTCAGCCCGCTGGGCTCACGGGTGGGTCTGGAACGGGCGAGTTCCCTCCTGGAAGGACCCAGAAGCCACCTTGGCTCTCGTGGGGAAGACAGGGACGATAGCTCGCGAGTCCCAGAGCCCTCGGGGGTGCAAGACCCTTTGTGGTTCGCAAGCATCTGGAGGAAGTCAGGGTTGCACGTTAGTTTGCTGCTTCGGTCCATGTCCCAGACAGGCCACTTGTCACTTCTGTTCCTGGCCTTCTGGCTGTTAGGCCCCGACCTTCCCAGTGGTGGTGAGAACCTGCTTCCCTGGGTCCCCCCTCGACTGTCACAGCTGATGGCCCAGGGAGTGGGTTAGGCCAGTGCTCCCCGGCCTTGAAGGAAAAACTTACATCCTAGATCCCAGTCGGGGTTCCCAAACCTTTTGGCCTCAGAAACCCCTTTACAGGGCGCCTGGGTGGCTCAGTCGGTTAAGCGACTGCCTTCGGCTCAGGTCATGATCCTGGAGTCCCGGGATCGAGTCCCGCATCGGGCTCCCTGCTCAGCGGGGAGTCTGCTTCTCCCTCTGACCCTCCCCCCTCTCATGTGCTCTCTCTCTCTCATTCTCTCTGTCTCAAATAAATAAATAAAATCTTTAAAAAAAAATAAAATAGGGCGCCTGGGTGGCTCAGTTGGTTAAGCGACTGCCTTCGGCTCAGGTCGTGATCCTGGAGTCCCGGGATCGAGTCCCGCATCGGGCTCCCTGCTCGGCGGGGAGCCTGCTTCTCCCTCTGACTCTCCTCCCTCTCATGCTCTCTGTCTCTCATTCTCTCTGTCTCAAATGAATAAATAAAATCTTTAAAAAAAAAAAAAAAGAGGGGCGCCTGGGTGGCTCAGTTAGTTAAGCGACTGCCTTTGGCTCAGGTCATGATCCTGGAGTCCCTGGATCAAGTCCCGCATCAGGCTCCCTGCTCGGCAGGGAGTCTGCTTCTCCCTCTGACCCGAACCCCTCTCATGTGCTCTCTCTTTCATTCTCTCTCTGTCAAATAAATAAATTTAAAAAAGAAAAGAAAAGAAAAGAAACCCCTTTACACCTACCTAAGTCAGCGCCCCCCCCCCAGGCCAGTATCAACTGATACTTAGCATCTTAGACATTTAATTTTAAGACAAAATTAAAAGTACGCACCCTGTGGGCTACCAGCCATGGAGCCTCTGGAGAAGGCGAGCTGGTGAGAGGGAGGTGAGGGGCAAGCACGGCTGTGGCCTGGGAGTGTGGTCTTGACTCAGGGACCCCAGTGGCCCTCTTGCTGAAGGTGGCGGATGGGGTGGAGACTAGCGCCGCTATCCCCCACCCCGGCGCCCCGGCGATCTCCGGCAGAGTTAGAGGCTCTTGCCATGGAATACCCCCTCCGTGCCCACCCCCATGGTGTCGCTGGCCCTCACTGCAGACCCCCTTGGGGAGCCCCAGGCCTCCTGCACCCGAGTCTTTGGGACGCAGACATAGGGTGTCCTTTGCGCTTTGTTCTCTACCTTTTTAAGCCCCCCGGTGGGCCTCCTGAGTCGGGGATGCGAACCGGCGGCCTGCGGATCTCAGGGAACCGCAGGAAGAGGGCTAGGAATCTCTGCTGCAGGAAAACTAAAGAAACTCAGGGTGGCACAGCGGTCCCTGGACCGGCTTTACCCCGTGACCGCTCTGCCTCAACTGCCCGCACGTCCACCCACCCGGGAACGACAGCTCCTCGGGAGGGTTTGCAGGGGGCAGCCCTCCCCGGGGAGGCCGGGGCTCCTGCTTGCTCTCGAGGTGGGGCCTGGGACGCTGCACCCCTGGCGAGCTCCCAAGGGCAGCGGCGGGTGCAGGGACAGGACCGCGCTGTGACCAGCAGGGAGAACAGTGGGCCTTTCGGGTGCCATGAGCTAGCTTCTGTCCCTGGCTCCTCACACGCTGGCAGTGTGGCTCTGGGCGAGTATCCAACACAAAAACCTCGGGGTCCCCGCCGGTCTGGCGTCCAGAGAAGCCACCTGGTGGCCGCTACTGGAATCTGCAGCGGACTGTGGCCACTCACTGGTCGTCGCGAGCCCCTACGTGCAGGCGCGGCCCCGGCTGCAGAAGACGAGGTCCGGGGCGCAGTGAGAACAGTGGGGAGCTTTGGGGGAGAACGAGGTCCAGTCCCGCTCCTGGGTCCCTGGAGGGCAGGACCGGCTGCAGCCAGCGCATCTCCCCCCTTAGGGAAAGCCTGTGCGCGGTCTCAGATTCCCAGACGCCCCTCGGCAGACCCCCGGTGGGGGCCGGGGGCCCAGCATGGGCGGCAGAGGCGGGAAGCAGGGGGGAGCCGCTCCCTGGGCCCCGGGAGGTGCTCCAGCGCACCTGCGGGGGGTGGGGGTAGGACTCCACGTGATGCGCCGGGTGCCTCTGCTCTCCGCCCCGTGCCCTGCCTGCCACGGAGAGAGGCGACGACGGAGGGGCTCCCCTGGGGCCCGACCGATCCAGTCCCCGCAGCTGGGAAGCAGCCATCAGCCAGCCATCAAGATGGGCCCGGGCCTTCACTCCTTGCACATCTAAGCCAGTTCTCTGCGCTGCTGCCCCATTCCCATGTTGGGAGCCCTGAGTGCCCCACAAAGGTCTGCAGGACCTCCTAGGGTTCCTACAGGGAAGCAGCCGACCAGAAACTGTGGGTCGCACTCATCAATGTCCTCAGGGTATGGTGTCTGAGAACAAAATTAAAACAGGTCCCCAGGGGCGCCTGGGTGGCTCAGCCGGTTAAGTGTCTGCCTTTGGCTCAGGTCATGATCCCGGGGTCCTGGGATCGAGCCCCACATGGGGCTCCCTGCTCGGCGGGAGGCCTGCTTCTCCCTCTCCCTCTGCCTGTCTCTGCCTACTTGTTCTCTCTCTCTCTGTCAGATAAATAAATAAAATCTTTAAAAAAAAAAAAAAAAGGTCCCCAAAGTTAAAAAGAAAACTGTGCTGATTGGGTTCATCCGTTTCAGTGACCCAGAAAGAAAATGCTATGGCCTTTATCAGGGTGAGCCCAACTCAACTGTGAGCACCACCAGCTCGCTCTAGACCTTAAAATCATGGTTTCCCTCCCAGAACACAAATGGTTCCAAAGTCACATTGCACGAGTGGATTGGAGCCTTCATAGGAAGCCAGTGGGAAGAGCAAGTGGACCTGAAAATGGCCCCTTTTATGCTATTTTATCTTTTTTCCCATCCTAGGTGTCAAATCAGGAAACAGTCAAGTGAATAAATAAGAACAGGCAGTGGTCCCTTACTCAAGGGCACCGCAGGCTTCCCAGGGCTGGACCACAGGCCAGAAGCTGGGGGTGTGGACTGAAGCCGCGGGTGGGGGCCTGGCTCAGACACAGCCTTGCTGGGGCTTCCCCGACTTCTCCCTCCCCAGGCTCTGCCAGGAAGCCCTCCTAGACTGTCCCACCCTCAAAATCGTCCTGTCCTTTGCTCATTTATTCAGCACCCTCATAACCGGTGGGCATCTTTTTGGCAATTAAAATCTCCAGGGGCGCCTGGGTGGCTCAGTCGTTAAGCGTCTGCCTTCGGCTCAGGTCATGATCCCAGGGTCCTGGAATCGAGTCCTGCATTGGGCTCCCTGCTCAGTGGGGAGTCTGCTTCTCCTTCTCCCTCTGCCTCTCCCCCTGCTTGTGCTCTTAAAAAATAATAAGTAAGTAAGTAAAGGGCGCCTGGGTGGCTCAGATGGTTAAGCGTCTGCTTTCGGCTCAGGTCATGATCCCAGGGTCCTGGAATCGAGTCCCACATCGGGCTCCCTGCTCCTTGGGAGCCTGCTTCTCCCTCTGCCTCTCTCTCTGTCTCTCATGAATAAATAAATAAAATCTTTAAAAAAAAATAAAAAAAATAAAAATAAGTAAGTAAGTAAATAAATAAATAAAATAAAGAAACAAAAATAAATGTTCTCTCTTTCTCCAAACCCACTCCTTAAAGGTAACTATTGGTAAACAATTCAGCATGTGTCCTTTTGAAAAATGTTGATAATTTCTTAAAATCTCGGCAGTGGTAAGTGCCCATCACATTTATGTATGTTTTTTTTTTTTTAGACTATTTATTTATTTATTGGAGAGAGAGCGCACAAGCAGGGGGAGTGGGAGAGGGAGAAGGAGGCCTCTCACAGAGCAGGGAGCCTGATGCAGGGCTCGATCCCAGGACCCTGGGACCATGACCTGAGCCGAAGGCAGACACTTAACCGACTGAGCCCCCCAGACGCATATTGAAAACACGTGGTATTAGTTCACCAGGTGAAACGACGCAGAACCTCGGTAGGTGCATTAATGGCCATCCCTTGTGTGTTATATGTTACTCTGGGTCACAAAGCAACCTCTGATGCAGAAATTGAATTGAAAAGCAACCTATTTTCTCATGATTTTAGGGTCCATTGAGTCAGGCATGGGCATGTCTTCCCTAGTGGCAAAACAAAAACTTTTGAGCCCCTGGAGTTGAGAGAAAAGTGTCTTTATTTCGTGAGCTCTGAGGAATGGAGGAATTGTTTGTTGGTTGCGTTTCCGATCGACTTTGTGTGTATTTCAGGCGAACAACTGGCATTCACAAGTAAGAAGTTGTGAAATGGAGTGATGCTCACCTGCATGCAGGCCTCCGGCGGCCCTGTGCTTCGTGTCATGAGACTACTGTGCAGTTTAGGAACGAGAAGATTTGTTCCTTCTTTTCTTTTTCTTTTCCTTTTTCTTTATTCTGCGTCCTACAGTGAGTGTTTCCCGACCGTACTTACGTCTAGCTGCTTCTGACCTTGAAGCTTTGGCTTAGAATTCAGAGAGAGCCTTTATGAATATGCACATCGTGTCCCCAGTAATGCCTAGTTCAGTGTGTGGGGAGCAGAGCTGCCGTTAGCACGTTCGGTTCTCAGGAAGAATGGCAGAAAACAGTGTGTGGGGAGCAGAGCTGCCGTTAGCAGTGTGGAATGTTCCAGGGCAGCAGCTGCTGTTTCCTGGCTGTGAAAACCCAGCT